CGACATCGGTTGTGATGGTGGTCTAAAATTAATAATCAATTAAATCACATTTGGACTTATATGTATGCATATCGTCGTTTAAAGTACAAAACCGCGTATCGTCGTTCTGCAAAACCGCGTAACTAACATTTTTTGCCAAAAATTGGATTTGGCTGACACAAGCTTTTGGCACAAGCCTTATCCATTCGTCCTGAGCTACACTAGCCAGAAATGCGAAAGAGAACCATTTTGAAATATGAGTGTTTTTACTCTATAGAAAATAATTTATGCAACCTCATATACGCGGTTTTGTACTTTAAACGACGATATATATATAAACTAATTTACTTGATCGAAGGGGCATTGGCGGTTGTGTAAGTTGGCCAGACACTGGCGACATATTGTATGACCACATCCCAGACTTATTGGTAGACGGTGATTAACAGCAAATTCATTGCAACAAATTGGGCAAAAGAGAAAATCTGTCCATGAAGGCGCCTGAATGGGCATTCTGCAATTAGAAAGTAACAAAAATCGCTTTTAAGTAAAATCTAAAAGAAATATATCGAAGAGCAAAATAGCAAAATTTGCAATTTAATTATTCGACTCGGAAAGGGACAACAAACTGTTATTATTTATTTGGAGATAAATGATCGATACGATAATATGTTGGAGAAAATGTTGTACATCCACTTGAAAATAAAGAATTTCTCAAAGATTTTAAAAAAGTTTGCTTTGGGCATATTGGCAATACACATATAAGTACATGTATACATACTATGTGCATGTGTACATATGGTGTCATCCCATATTTATTTTTAGACAAGCTTAAATAAAGAGCTTCGACCTAATCTAAGCTCAAAAAATGTATGCATATATTTTAACGTACATACCTACATATGCATGTACATATGTGCAGATATACTATACATGAGTAAATAATATAGATTTAATTCTAATAGAGGGCGATGACCGAAAGATACTATAATCTATATTTAATATAATAACAATATAATATATCGTTTCCTAATTCACAAAGGCCATAACGCGTAAATTTTCTATTTTACAGGAGTAGCAAAAAACATTATAAAAAAAAAACAAAAACTGCAGAAAGGGATTATTAAAAAAAAGGGTATAGTTCCGCTGTTTTTGGGACCTACTGACACTTTCAAGTTTTTAGCGAATGTGTTTTTTAATATATATATATATCCTACAAAAATCTGTGTAAAACGCAGTTTCGAAAAAAGTGTTTGTTAGGGCTTTTGTGAATTAAGGTAAATATGTAATACAATTGCTAACGATACATAGGCTTTCAATTATAAAAATATGTAGGTACATACATATGTATGATTTCGTAATGTTATGAAATTTGTAACTTTTTATTCTATAATTTTCAACACTAGCCATATTACTTGTACATTCAGTTTTAGATTAATTTTCGGAAAATTGAAAATTGATTTATTTACTAAGTGGTTACATTGAGAAATATTGCTTTTGTTAATTGATTCGTGACGACATACTACACAAATGTCCAGGAACAAATTAACACATATTCATGATTGGTGTGTGGATGAATAAGTCAGTATACAATGTACTGTACATATCTACATATGGGGGTTTTCCATAAAAAAGGTAAACCGAAAATGCAAGTAAATGAATTCATAACTTTAAATTTCGTATTCAGATGGGGGAAAAAGGTTTTGAAAACGCAAAGCGGTGGGGAACTGAAAAAATTGAATAAAAAATAAAATTTTAGTATGTGTTGCTGGTAAAAATACTGTATGGCGGAAAAATCTGTCACGTCCGATATGTCATGTCCGTTACCATATTTTAATTCGAAATTAAATCAAGAACGAATTGCTACTGATTAACAATGATTTGGTATTGCTGAATAAATTATTCGCTTTGTTTGATTAAAAAAAAAAATAGTAACATTAATTATACCTTACATCGAATCTCATACAAATATATACAAAAATATATTTTTGACGGAAAAAGTCATTTCGACCTCTCGTGGGGACACACATTCATTCATAAAATTAACAGCTAAAAACTTATTTCACAGCTGAACACTAAAGCACGAAGAATATGCAACTACAAATGTATGTACATATGTAAATAAAAATCACTGCCAACGTCAGCAGCTGTTGCTGACAAAAATAACAGAGAATCTCAGATACTAAAAAGATTTTGATGCAACTGGAAGACAAATGATACTTTCAATACTTAGTGGATGGACATATGTATGTAAATAGCAACGTGTTTTTATTAAGTTTATTAGTGCTTACATACATAGTACATACATATACAAGGACGTGCATACGCGCAACAATATCCATACCTTTATTACTAATGCACTGCATTAATGAAAGCTAAGAAATATTGGGGAACCAGTGATCAGATGGCAGCTGGCGACGACGTTGACCGTACTGGTGATTGTGGTGGCATCGACTGCGCCGACGTTGCTTTAGTGTACGTAAGCAGTGCAAGCAGAAACAAAGAGAATTTGTTAGATGTTGTTGACGATGGCAAAGCAAAACAACAAACAACAGCCACGACTGCTCACATCGCGTCACCACTCGATGCGTAGTCGACGTCGCAGCTCCTATTTTGTTGGTTTTACTATAGCAATGATCTACAACATAAATATGCTGCTCGCAACAGCTTCTCCGGAGTAGAGGAATGAATTTTTCTCGACAAATTACTTTGTTGTTGGAACAATAGCCATCGAAACGGAAGCGGCAGAACGTTCGCATCAAATATGGATTTTCCACTCAAATGTGAGAAGTGTGAGGAAAACAAAAAAGAGCTTTTGTCTAAAATGCACGGAAAGGAACCATAGAAAATTGCGTAGGCCCAGTGCTGATGGTCGTATAAGAGTCACTCAAATACCATTTTTTCTATTTCAAACCGATCATAATTGCGAAGGTGGGTAATTGAAAGGGGTAGGGCGAGTACTTCCTCAATTAGTAACTGTCGCATGACCAATACGGAGATATCTAGGTGCTTCCCTAGGGGAGTGGTAACTTTATAATAAAGTCGTATACATGTACATATGTAACGAACACAAGGTAGAAATGCTGGCTGAAAAATCCAAGATTGCTAAACGAAAGAATGCATTTATAACTACGAAAAATCTAAATTTGTCATGGCTATATGTGTACCAGTAAAAAAAACTGAATCTCATTAGTCAGTTTCAATTATGAAACTTAATTTTCACTTCATAATTTTTTCATTGAATAGCCCCTCGGCGACTTCGTAATCGATATAAACATTAAGATGGTTGTTACGTTGCACTTTTTTTTACATACATACATGTGTATGTATATAACTTTTCCACTTTTTCGTTTAATTTTTTTTTCTTATTTTATACTTGTTACGCACCTTCAAAATGCACATATTACTTTTTCTTCTAAATTCGAATCACAGATCGCAGCAAATTGATTAAAATTCAATCGCGTATGTAGACGTGGCCACTTTCACAATTTAATTTTTCTATGCTTCAATTGAGTATGTTCGTAAAATCGGTAGAAAATGCAAAAATTAAAAAATTAAAATCTATTAACTTGCGTCAAATGTAAGATTTTTTCTTTCTGTGACAAGGAAAAGTCAAAAACGTCTAGTTATTGTAGCGATGTGCAATGAAGCGATACCAACAATTTAATATCGATATCTTTGATCACCGAATGGTACCGAGTGCTAGAGATGTAGGTGCGATTTGTACTCCGTACGCCAATTGAGGGAGTGTTTAACTACAGAAGAGCCTGCTATACAGTTCAATACGAGCATGAGCGTGAGCTTTTTATTTTGGCCAATATCTTCGTTATTACTTAACTTTTTGCTATAATTGCTACATCAATAGATAGTTAATTAAAACATCTTCAGAATTATAAAATAAAAAGCAAACTTAAAATGCATAATATGCCTTTTTCAAGCTCACACTCAACTGTGTACGTACGCGAAGAATTCGCATGTGAACGACAAGTTTTGACAGATGTGTGTGAGCGTCCATAAGAATACAAATGGAATTCTTTGCCTTTGCGAACGTTCACGCTCACAATCGCATTGAACTGTATAGCAAGCATGAACCAAAAATACAAGATCACATAAAAACGCGACGTTGTATTTGTAACTGATTTTGAGAAAAAAAATAAAAATCGTGGTAGCGGGTTCCTCAGCTGAGTGTTTGTTTACATCACAAGCACCACAATTTTACACTTTTAGTTACCTAAAGAAGAATCTTATAGGAATCACCTTGACTTAGTTAGTCTTACTGACCATCTTCACCTGCTGGAAAATACCGCCTGCATTGTACTTCATTTTCTAGCAAGCGAGATAATGATTTGTTGACTGGGCATTTGACATTTGGAAAAACCTGCGTATAAAAGATAGAAAAAGACGAGCAAAACAGTTTTGGGTGTAAGTTTGTGTTTGCCAACAAAATAAACGATGTTGCTATTCTGAAGAACTCTGCGAAATTATAAAATAGCATCTAAACAACCAAAAATGGCAGTTGAAAGCAAGCGAGAGCTCGCGAACCATTTGACATCCGAGAAAAAGTAGGCTTCCTACTTTCTGCGATTCACTTGTGTGGGATGTAGCATATATCTTCACGTAAGCGAGATTTTCAAGTACTTTTTCCTCATTTGTATGCAATTCAGATCTAGTTACTATTCAACTTTCGTTGTTCCCATTTTAAGAACCAAAAACTTGAACTCGTCAAAATTGAAGCGTGTAAAAGCAAATACAAAGCACAAAAGAGAGCGAGCAAGAATGCTTTCAAGAATGATAAAAACATTACCAATTAAAATCATTTTTTGATTTCGTTGGCCATGATCTTTTTTTACGTTTTTGTGTGTGTTTCAGTTTTGAATTTCAAAATAATAATGCATGCAAACGTTAGACTGCCTCAATGGTTTTACCTTTTGTAATTTTTTTGTCATGCTTTCAAGAAGTTGTAAATCGGGTGTAACGAATAAACTGCTGCCATCGCTATTTTAATCGGAAAGGTATCGAACTCAGTTGTCAAAGCAAAATAATTAGGGTCTTCACACCTGCTAGTTGGTACCTGGTAAACTGCTAGTTGGTACTCGGTCATTTTATCAACTGTGAGCATCCTTTTCAGCGGATTCGGAACTTTTTTCCTATAAAAACAAAAATAAATTGTAACTGAAAATTGAAGGAATTTTACTTACTCATATGCCTTATACCTTGCGGCAGCGGACGGTATTAAAATTCTCTTACTTAAATAACTCTTACTTAAAAGTATATGCATTTACATTTATTAATTGGAATTTACGAATTTATCAAAGGAACTTACGTGGGCATGATTCCATGAAAGTACTTTTTTATCAAACGCTCACTCAAAATAGCAAACGCACACAAAGTGAAATGGTTGAATATTAGTAAAGAAACATCTTCGATATTTTTCAAAACATCGATGTTTGACTTAATCGACAAACATCGATGTTAGAAGCCACGACCGACCATCGATGTTGCTCGATACATCGATGTTTTTTCAGCATTCCTACTAGGAATGTAAATTACGGTGCAAGATCGATGTTTGAAGAATCGATGTTTCGAAAAACTACATCGATGGCAGTTTGTTGGTGGTTTACAAAACAAATATAAAGTTAAAATCTAATCACATATATAACTTCCACATCTTTTAATGAAAAAAATAATAAAATTTAGTACGGATTTTTACATTTCAGTTACGATGTTGTTACGTCTTTTCGCGTTTCAGGTGACGATATATTTACATTTTTCTTTTCACAAATATTGTAAGGAAAGTTAAATTTAATTTCACTGCGCCCGCTACCAGTTTATCAGAATACCTCCAGCACAAGCTTCGTTCGTTTATTACTCTAAAATATTAACATGAATTAGAATCTCTGGCGTAATACTTGTAGCGTAACACATATGTACACTACATACTCATAAACCAATCAAAGTATTTCTTAATTATACACGTATAAATATATGAACATTTATTAAATGTAATTTATTAAAGAAACATACTTGGGTATGATTCCACGAAAGTACTTATTAATCGCTATTGGGCCCTGTCACACTGTCAGTATTTATTGACGTGATCCAAGTATCGCGATATTAATTGACGGTGTAGCATGCAGTATTGATAGATCGTCTATATCGCAAAAGTTTTAAAAATTTTGTAATCTGGATCGCGGATAGCTCTTTCAAAACGCGATCCATACATTTCGTCAGTACATCTTTTACTCTCATAATGCGAACATCGAAAGCGTATTCGCTCTGCCTTCGCTCTCGATGCTCGAAACCTTTCAAAACAAATTGAAGAAATTGTAATTAACATTGGAAATTTTAAAATAATTGTGGAATGCATTATCTGTAAATTATATGTACAAAATAAAAATATTTTCTTGCGTCATAATAAGCGTTCAGCACAGCACAGCAAAATTATGCAAATACTGACGCGATAAATATTGAACATGTAGCATTCGTGCGCGATCCATCAATCCATCAATATGGATCGCGATCCAAATATCGTGATAATTACTGACCGTGTGATAGGGCCCATCAAACGCTGGCACAAAATTTTAAAGCGCGCACAAAATGAAATCGTGTAAAATTAGTCAACCCGATAAACATTTAGGTTTGAGCTCAACTTGAGGTTAAGTTGAGAACTAAGGTATTTCTCAAATCTCCAATGTTGTTTCTCAACAGTACCTCAAGTGGAGGATCATAGCGTTCTCAACAAAAATGGCATTTTTCTTTGTATGAAAAAAGGACTGTTTCTCAAGTTGAGAAAATGCTAGTTCTCAACTTGAACTCCAATGTAATTCTCCAATTGGTCTCAAACATATCATTGAAATACTGAAATTGAAATAGTAAAATACCTTATAGCTTTTTGATTGAAACGACATATATAGATGATTTTAGATATTAATTTTTTATTTTATTACTCCAGTATTGTATTATGCAATTTATCAATATCGTATTAAAACAATTCACTTCACAGTATAAAGTCCGACAGTAATTTCTTCGATGTTTTGGTTTGACATCGGATTCCTTAAAACATCGACAAACATCGATGTTTGAAGCCCCGACCATCGATTTTGCTCGATACATCGATGTTTTTTACATTCCTAATTCTTACAAAGAATTCGATTTAGATGGCGCGGAATTTTAGATACAACGCAAAGTGGAATTTTGAAGGAAAAATAGGAATAAAATAAAATATTTGATTCATTTCAAATCCTACATTGCTCACAAAATGATAGAGAAGGTAGTTGGTCAAAAACGAAATCGGATAAAGCCCGATCTTCTCATATATGTATGTATAATCTGTTTTCAGAAATGGACGCTGGACGTCGAGTCAAATCGATACGACCTCATTCCGGGCAAATTTTATTTAATAGGATATGTAAAAGATGGCGAAAATGGTGGGAACCATGTCGATATAAGGCTTAAAACCCAAGTGAGTATTAAAAGCTTACCAAAGGTCAGGGAAATCAAGCATATTATTGTAGAGTGTTGACGCGAAGCACTGTGTTTTGGATGTATCTGGGGACGCTTTGTATATATATGATTTACACAGT